AAGCTATTATGAGCTATCTGCCCCAGGGCACAGCAGGAAGTTAGTAAATCGTTTTTTAATCGATTGAATTAAGGGAAACTTTATGTGGATTAACTTTACTGGAGTTAATCCCCCACTCTTTCAGAAAGTGCCACAGGACATTTAATGACCAAGTATTTGGAGCCCTGGATTAAAGTCTTATCTAAAGGACACCACCTCCTATAGCACTGACCAAACCCAACCTAATTCTTTATTTTTTTTTGGAGTCTGTGTGTTTTTACTTAAGGTAAGCCATGGTTAAGCTACTGTAGGCCAATGTAAAGCATGAAATGCCATTTGGAGACTTTCAATGTGCTGAAAGGGTTGTTTGCGTCTAGGTTCTATGAGCAAAAATATTTACTGTATACAGAATCCATTGGTCAGCACTGTCTCTATGCAGCCAGAAAACAGAGCCTACACAACACATCAAAGATGTCTCTGGCACTTAGTGGTGCCTGTCATCTTCAAAAGATGAGAGTTCATACGGAGCCTCCTGCCACTTCACTCTGAATAGTTAATAAGCTCACTTGAATAAAACACTCCATTTAAGAGTCAGCTGTCCTTTAATATTTTGGAAAAAAAACCATACCTGAACAAAATCTGATGATTGCCCATTTGTAGTAGACTCACCAAAAAAAAAACAACACTGAACTGTTCTAGGGCAGAAGCATGCAATGTAAAAAAAAAACTCTACCTGCATAGACTCATGTTTTTCCACATCAATGACAACTTTTTTTTTTTTTATTCACCATGACAAAGATAAGCAACACCTATTCCCAGGACTGTTTGGGAAAAGGGCAAGGATATTTGTGGAGCAACAGTTCAAGATAGTATAATGTATGATATAGTACTTATTTAACAGGACTGTAGATGCAAATAAGCACACTAAACAAACAATTTGTGAACGAAGGATCCAATGCTAGCTCTTCTTGCTTCAGGTCAGAAATGTGTAAACAGAACTTAAGACACTGAAACCTGGGAACCCTGAACCAGCCTGAATCCGTCTTGTTAAACTGGTGGTGAAAACTGACAAGGCAGTCATTTCATACCAAACAGTGAATGCATGTTTGGAGTGTGTAAGCATATCCCACACAAGGAATGATTTCTCATCCTAAATTAGATCTCGCAGCAAGTCAGCACTTTTAAATCCCGTTTTATACTTCACTCTTTTCCACCGGCTTCTAGTTCTGTTTAATGTATTGTACTATTTTGTCTTTCCCCGTCTCTCTTGTTCCTGCCTTTATCTTTCTTCGTGGTAAAATAATATTATTTCTTATGTAAAGGATATGTAGTCAGTTTATATCAATTTTTTCTATAGGCTTGACAATCTAGGATGTCTGCTATACGTGAATGAGAAAAGTAATTTCTCACAAAGACGGGTGAGAAGGCTGAGAACATTCACAAAGATCAAGCTGTACAGCAATGAGCGCAAGGCAAAAGCCATTGTGTATAGGCAGGCGAATAAGGGAGAACTATCCAGTCTTAATTCTGTTTCAGGCTTTTGAAGGTCATATTATCCATAGAGTAATATGATCTTCTCTCTTCTAACTTCTAACTTCACCTTTAAGGGAAACTGAGCCCTGTTTTACCCTTTTACAATTAACCCCTCAGGCTGGCCAACTGCGATCGTATAGGAAATTCTAACCTTTCTGTACTTTACCTGGTCTAACCATAACCATTAAACTAGTCGAATCTAGCAATTTAGATATTTAGAACTATGTGCTGAACATTATGAATGTTTTATTATGCATCTATAAAGTATGAACATTTTATAGCGAAAATGATACTCAAATACAAAGGTAGCAGATTGTACACTCTTTGTCTCTTGTAAAATGCCTGCACCTTTAGTCCCTCTATCTGGTTTCTTAAGCACAGACTGTTACAGGTGGCTGTGAGACACAGTTGTTCTGCTACAGAGACTCCATGTAGGAAAAATCTTTGAATCATTTGCAAACCTCGGAGTCTGTCTACATGTCCAAACTATTCCATCAGACTGATGCGAGGCACTTTTATTTGTGGTAGAGGAAATGTAAGATGGTGAACAAAATCATTTTGAAAAATGCAATAATATGCATGAGAGCTGTGTCCCTCACCTGTCATGATTAATGTACCCAATTAGCCAACTGGGTTATTCTAATAAATGTTAGATATTTTCCAAACTTCGGTTTTATTGTTTAAATAATCAAGACACATGGAAATCACTGGAGTCCACCCCAAATTCCTTTGGTGTTTTACATAATTATATTATAGTTTATCTGGTACTCATGCATTCATTATTTTTAAAAAAAATATTCTCAACTTGATTTCAGTGTATCTAAAATATTTTAAAGCTTTTGCATTTATTGTCAGTTTATTTCCATTTCAAAACCTAAAAATTACAGAATTAAAGATCTCATCAAATGTCCGAATCTCTTTTAAATACTATACTGTAGCAATTCATATAAACTATTTGATTCATGTTCAATAAGAAATCCAGTTTATAAGATGCCTAATCCTCCCAGAAAATGTATAGTCATTCCTTCCTTTGGATGTCTAAAATGTTGATATTTAAAATGAAATTTTATGCCGAAATTTACAACTAATGGCATTATGAGACACTGACACTCTGTAACTTCAAGTTTTCATAAACAGAGTTTCAATAGTTAAGCACGCTCACTGTGAAACTGTGAACAGAGTGATATTCTCTTCCTAATCAATCCAATAGGCCTCATAATGAAGCAGATATACAGGTATGTGTGCGAGAGAGATTGATTTCATTTAGCTGTCTTATCTCAGCTAGTTTCCAAGCCAGGTATGAATACAGTTAGCTGACACAGACAAGAAAGTATTATTAAATTTTCTATATTTACAGTAGTTCAGTTAAAAGAGTATATCTCTTTACAGAGAATCTAGAAACAAAAAACAGGAATAAAAGTTCATTGCAAGACATTGCTCAAGTCAGACACCAATGAATCACTTCCCCTTAACATCAGCTACTACGCAAGTAATTCCTACAGAAATCACATTAGTTCAGCTTTTATTCTGTTGTATTGTTCTTTTTAAGAACAAATAATGTGTGCAAAATTGTACAAGATGTTACAACCACTGCCATAGTCAATGAATGTGCAAGGCCTACAAACAGTTCTATTGTGAGCCACACCTGGTATTTACAGTGCACCACACCCAAGTTAAGCTACTTACTGTAAGTCTACTGGTTTGTGTATAACTGCACAAGTTTACATGTAAACGGACTCCAAGCCTAAGTACCCAAAAATAAAAGGTCACAACAGATCTCCAAAGTTCCAGTTTTCCAAAATGCAAAACTGCAAATAAAACCCATCAGTTATCATACAATTCACATCATGCCTAGGTTAATGCAGATTAAATTAATATTTGCCTTGGCCGATGTGGAATATGTCATCATGTAAAATATGCTAATTAGATCAAATACTGATAAAATGACTTACAAGCCTTTTTATACAGTACAATATTTACTGGGTAATACACTGAGAGCCTACCCAACATAACTCATTATTTGAAAAAGATAAAAGATGCATTCTGGAAGACCCTAAAGTAATGTTAATGACAGTGCTATTAGCACCTTGTAGCCAGACTTTAAAAGCTAAGCAAAGCTGCTTCGTGCAGGGATGTGAGACCTCTTAGGAAATTCAGGCTGTTGCTGCAGGTGATATTTGTGGACCAGTGGGTGACATTATTACCTGAATTTCCAAACCCAGTATGGTGACATGAGTCTGTGCTACTGAGGGTGCCTTAATGGAGATGCAGACTATTTGGCCATTAACAATCCTATGACAAGAATACAAACGATTCCATGTTTGTAAGAGGGAGTGTTATGCCTCTGCCCTGTCTAAAATTCCAGTTTGGAATGGTACAGTAACGTGCTGTTGTTCTCCTGAAATCCCCCCCAACCCTTTAGTCATTTAATAATTTGAAGTAATTTCTGATCTGCTGTTGAGAGTCTTCTGACATTACGGCATGTACTGTACCACCGACGTGGGTGTTGCATAAAAAGCGGTATGCAGATATAAGGTATTATTCTTCTAACAAAGCGTCATTGAATCGCTCTCGTCATGCTTCCTGAACATGGAATTGTTAGATCTAACTGAGTAGCTATGCTCTATATTCCGGTGATATTCAGTTGCTCCCAGCATTTGTAGGGCATAGTGCGATAACACAAGGCGTCATAAGAGTTGGGGAAAAAAGACATGCAAATCTGCAACGTATACAGTATAAGTATACATATATTAATATTTACAGTATAAATCTATTAAAATTATTAAATAGGGGTGTCAGTAAATATCGAAAACTGTAAAAATTGTCAGCAGTACATCGATTCATGTACATATTCAACTGTGATAAATGCATTCAAAATCGCTACAGAAAACAGAAACTGAACTCGATTTCTAACACGTGTAGGAGTAAAGTTGTAATACAGGGGGGAAAAAAAACGTTTCTCGTTAAAACTGTACAAGTAGACTATTACACCATGACAGTGAATGAAAAACAATTATTGTTTTCTGCACAGCGATCGAAACCCTCATCTACGGCAGCCACATGTAACTCGAACTTGTTACAGATCGGCTCAAAATGTGTTCACCACGGCTGCAACGTCATGATTTATTACACGGATATGAAAATTAGTTGTGCCCGTGGTTCTTGCATCTTTGTACAGTACACAAACCAAACGCTCTGAGCTGAAGTATTTCCACCCCGAGAGCTGGACGAAACCTACACCAACACTCTTATCGTTACACGGCTTAACTATAAAAAACAAAAGTCCCATTGCAACTTTTCTAGCGATCACTTCTGAGTATGCAAATTAAAGAACTGTTTCAATATGGAGAACCGCGCAGCCAACTTTTCATTTTAATTTTTGAACACTTTTAAAAGCATCTGCAGGTTTTTCTTTGTTCTAGTTTAAATCACTCCTTCTTTTTCCTCTTCTCGATTGATAGTGTAAGCTACAGGTATTCCGGACTTACCTGAGCAAGTACTTTCACTCGGCTCGTACTAGTTGTTTTGACAGCAACGCAAGACGATAGAGCTCTCCGGAGAACTGCAACTTGCAGTTTTACAACCCTTCCCAAGAACACCATTGCTTTAATTTAATCCCTTTGCTCAGGAAATGTTGGCATAATGTTATGTTCCCGTGGGAATCGATTTGTGTTCTTCCAATGGCTTCAGAGCCGGCTCCCTCCCAAAATTAGTACCAGCCGCTGTGATGGCACCGACACAAAAGCAGCGCCCATCATAGCTAGCTGAAAAACCCTGCTTCATTTGAGAAGCTAGATGCCGTCGTAGTCCTCATTGTCATCTCATTGGTGGATATCTAAATCAAGGGGGTGGGATATATATTCATATGTCGAATAGCAATATACCATCAGAAAAGTATATATCAGCAAAGTTAATATCCTGGTCATCTGTTGTCGTGTTGTTTTGTTTTAAAACAGATGCGGACTGTTATCAGAATGGCCTGTTATCATACGCGACGACATTTTGAAAGTTAATAAGTCATTATTAAGGTTGATAGTTCACTAGTAACAACCACTTATATCATTAGTTGCGCAGCTTTAATATGCGTGCTACTCTGCTACTGTAGTAAGAACATACATAAACTTGCAAATAGTAAATATCTTAAACATTGGACAGTGACGGTCAAAATATTTTTGTTTTGTTTTGTTTTGGAAAGGAAACTTAAACAGGATGTTTTTTTTAATTAACAGACAGTTCACGCAGACGGCATTTCTTTATACGTTAAAAATTACAAATGAATTGCAACAGATTGTCTTGCCACAGTAAGACTGAATTGGTATGGCAGTTTTCTGAGCACTGTTTTTACATTGGCATTAAGCAATATGTTGTAAAGAATAATAAGAACCATATTAAATTCTGAAACCCGAGTTCTATTTCATGCAGACGTTAAGAACAGCAGGCGCCTGTTCTCTATAATTTTTGTTAAGTGGGACCTTATTAGTCATAAGCCAGTCTTTCTCGATCCTATAAATAACTATATCCTACTGTATATACTTTAGATAACATATACTGTACTGTATATACAGTGTCTATACTGTATGTACAGTATATAACCAATAAAGTACGAAATATGCTAAAAAGGTAAAACTACAGTATGTCTAATTCTGTATACTGTATCTGTCAATTTTACAGGTTATCATACTGAAAAACAAAACACTAATCACCTTTACTGGGCCTTTCTAGGTCCATTTTACTCATAAACGTCCATGTTTTTTTTTCCTTTCATTTTGTCACTCTTTGTTTGGAGTGAATTTTCCCTTGCAGTCTATATTTCATCAGCCATTAAGACAGTCATATGACATTCTGCAGTACAGCAACAGTGGTGCTTCCTTTTACAGTTAAAGCTATATAAAATGTACATAAAAGTCATAGCTATATCAGCAAAGGTGGCAAATTAAAGCCTCAAATGACTCGCCCACATCAAATCCTTCCATCTTGACACCAATGGTACTGTAAGTGGACATTTGAGACAATGGAATGCTATAGGGAGATAAAGAATGAAAACACCAGTACAGATGGAAGTTCAGAAATAAAATAGGGAGGAGTTTGTAAAAATGCCATACACTGCCTATACTTAAACATGAAAGTTGCAAAGTTATGTTTTAGAATTAGAACTTCTCACAAACAGAAGTTACAGTATATTGGAATATACAGTAGGCACAGCTGCATTCAAAAACTCAATGGAAACTGAGTTAATAGTCATGGATGTGTGTTTTTAAACATGATAATGATGTTATCATATCATAACCTGATGCTACCAGATTCTAAAAATCGAAATGACTTCAATGAGAAATAAATCCCTGAGGTTGGAAAATAGATATTTTGTTATTTCCTGCGCAGTGACATGGAAGTTTGGAGAAGGAGCTTTCTGGACGAAGGAAGAAGGAGAGTGTTGTTAACAATACACTCATTGGCCAGACTTCTCATCCCATTTTTCCAGCATGAGTGTTTTCAGCTGACCTTATCATTAGGTTCATGGCTTGTGAATCGAATTGTATGTTCAACCATTTTTCATAAACATTTATTGTTGAGGTCTGTGGGTTGCCCTCCTCTGATCAAATCATTACAATCGAGTTGATTTCATATGGTGTTCCTAGTATTTTGGCCCATGGGTATACTGTATGTCTAGCTGTACAGTACTTGGTACTGAAGTGTTATTTATTTCAAAAGGGAATGTGCATTCTGTATGATTTGTCTTTTTTACTGTAAATTAAGGATATCCATGCAAATTTGTGGAGGGACACGTGCAATTTTTAATGTAATGACAATTTCTAGTATTGGGAACAAATTCCTCATGGGTGCTGACAGAATAGCACAGGTAAAACACATGAATACCTTATAAACATTGTCTGCTTTCTTATTAAATCATTTGCCAAGTAAACTTTGGTACATACATTTAAAGAAATTAACATAACACAAAACACATTAAAAAATAAAATAATAACAATGACATTGTCACGGACGTCCAAAGGGACAAACCGTCGGGAGCAGGAGAGCGGAAAAAGACCCATATGCGTAGCGGCGAGACGGGAAAAAGGCCCGGGCTCATAGTGCAAAGAGTTCAGGATTGCCGTATAGAAACCTATGCCCTCAGGGAGCGGACGTGGGGCGCCCTGGTGCTAGGCGGGTCTCAGGACATCCGAACGTCAATGCTGAGCGAGGACAGAGTGCAAGACCCGGAAATATATAGCCCAAGGGAAAGAGAGGGACAGGAAGAACAGCAGACCGGAAACTAGGGACAGGACAGAGAAGGAGCGCCCTCTGGCTGCAGAGGGCGTGACAGACATACTCATTAGTTTGGAAATATGTGTTTAATTGATTGTGAAGTGGTACAATATTCTAACAGTGGACACAAATCTGGAATTCAGAATAGATGTCTTTAAAGAAAGTTTACAAAATAACCCATGTGTGCATCCAAGTATCCATCCATCTCAAAAGTATTGACAGGCTAAATCCTATTTTGTCTCTCATTGTAGCTAAAAAGTCATCTACAGTATGTCCGGAATTAGGCAACCAGAATCTTAACCAGGTTGTGTGCAAGTGATCACATTACTCCTGTCCTGGAGTCCTTGCACTGGCTTCCTATCAAGTTTCTTGTTGACTTCAGAATCCTCTTACTCACCTATCAGGATCTTCACAGCTTGGCACCTGAGTAAATACAGTATCTGACTTACTATCTCCCTGCTCCTCATCTCACAACCTTAGTTCATCTTATTCAAATCTTCTGTTTGTCCCCCCGGTTTGCTTACACTCTATGGGCAACAAGGTCTTCTCTTGCTATACCCCAGAGCTCTGGAAATCTATATCCAAGAATATCAGAGTTACCTTCCCTGAGCTCTTTCAAATCCAGACTCAGAACTTTCTTCAGAAGGGCTTTTATTCAGTCAGTTGCTAATTTTGTTACCTCCTTGTTAACTTTTGTCTCTCACTGTGAATCACTTTGAGAAGTTATTTTAAACTGTGCGATATAAGGTTATTTTAAATACAGATGATGATGATGATGATCATGATGCTTCTTCTTCTTATTATTATTATTATTATTTTGTTCCATATATTATTCTCTTGTAAGGAAACAAACTCCTTTTGAAAGTGTTATTATTATTTGTTTGCATTTATTATGCTTTTTTTAATTGCTGGATGCTAAGCATCCAGAATAAGAAGACAGTGAGATAAATGCCAAAATAAATTTAGAGTGAATCTGGCTTTAAGACAGATAACAGCATCTAAGTGCCCCTAGAGGAAAATGTGGTTGTTTTATTTGTACTGTAATATGAACAGGAGACTTGTACCAACAAATAAATATGGGCACCTTTCAATCTAGTCATAGTGTACAGTATGTTACATTGGATGGTCTAATACATGTACTGTATATAATTAGAAGTTGAGGGACAGAGAATATTTTGAGATTAATGTCTAATTGCAGTGAAACCACTGAATGCATTGCTAAAGAATAACATTGCCAGGTTGTACTTATTGTGTACTGAACATTTTTAGATTTGCAGATACTGTGAAGAGCAAAATACTTTCTTTCTGTAAAATGGACAATTCAAATTAAACACGTACATTGTATAAGGCTGCATTTTGGATATGCTGGAGTTTGATTCTTTTTAGCCTTGGGTGAAACTTTTCTGGAACAAGCAGTTTGTCCAAATGACAGGATTATTAAAATTTTACATGCAGAGAGCAATTTTATAGCTTTGATGTGTAAATGACCCACTCTGCACTTTGAAGGTACTTATAAAAATATATGTAGTTGTCAAATCCCAGCAAAAAGGAATTATGATACCTTAACTTTGTTAGAACAGATATAAAAAGAGATGTAATCTTTTGGAACTACCCATTTATTCAATGAACACATATAACAAATTAAGCTAACTTTTGAACACCACATCTACATTAAGCACAAAAAATAGTGAATTGCTCTTGCGAGTGCTCATTGTGTAGGGACAATGTTCACACACCAACCTTACCTCAACACACACTGGTGTCGATGATGTAGCTTTAAGGAATTGCTTAAGATTTGGTTATTCCATATTTGGGGATATTAAAAAGACAAAAAAAATCTTATGCCATGTCAAAGTGGGGGAGTTGCTGGTTCTATTAAAAGAAAAATATGAACATTGAAACATAAACTCTAATGTTGTTCAAATAAAATGTCTTTACTCTTTTCTTGTTTTTTTTTTCACATCAAATGCCTTTAAAGGCACAAAGTGACAATGGTTATACTGTAGAACCATTTCAATTACACTTTTATCACCATTGCTTTGAATTAAATAAATGAGTGGTTATCCTTCACAAAACAATACATTAAAAATATAACCATGAGCCATTCTTTCATAAGGTGTTGGTGTATTCCTCTATGAAAGACAGAAATCATTTTCCTAGTCCATGCATAACATTACAATCCTGGTTATTTTCAGTGCAATTCCATGCTTAATGTATTTTAATTAGATCTAAGTTATTAACTTTCCCTCCTTTTACTAGATATAGATTTTTGCATTAAAGTTTCTTAATTAACTGCTCATGAAAGGTAAGGAGCGATACTAATGATAAGACTCAAATAAGATGCCAGTAACCAGTATTTAAGAGTCATACGAGCTGGTTCAACAGTCTTGATCAGAGAACATGTACTGTATAATAACATACTGTAAATAAGACAAGGCCATTCAGCTCATTCTTCGGTTTCTAGAATGCAAGCAATCCAAGGATCTCATCTCAATATTTCCTGAAAGAAGGCATGTTATCAGCTTTGGCTGGATGGGTTAACATCTTGTTCCATACTCTCACAACCCTTTCTGTCGAAACGTGTAGTCTTAAATGCACTTCACCCATAGTTTCCACTTGTGTCGTCCAGTTGGTGTTTCAGTGTTGAAAAAGTC